GGCCAGGACCCGGGCTCCTCCTGACCCGCCCCCTCGCAGGCCTGGACCGGGACCAAGACCGGGACCGGGAGGACCGCAAGCTCGCCCTGGCGCGGGCGCTGGCGGCGCTGGCCGGCGTGGTCCTGGGCTCCGCGGTGCTGGCCGCCGTCTGCAGAAGGTGCGTTTCCCAGCCCGGCCTCCAGCGCTCGGGAGGCTGAGGCAGGGGGGTCTCCGGGGCACACGATCCCAGCCGGGGCCCAGGCTTCCACCCACAAAAGGGGTAACCCTGGAACAGCAGACAGGACTCAGCCGGGCGGGCCCGGGCCACCGCTGCCACCGCGCTCCGGGCTACCCGGGAGGCTGAGGCGGGAAGACCTTAAATTCATTCAGGCCCGGGTTTCAAGGAGGGTGACCCAGTGTTTTGGCGCCCGCTTGTCACCCGGCCTCAGGAGGCTGAGGCAGGAGGCTCCCTGTGGGTTCGAGACCAGCCAGCATGGGCCACAAAGTGAGCTCAAGGCCAGCCTGCACTGCACACCGAGACCCTGTCTCCAAAAGACCGTAGATATGTAAATACATGCATACCTGCATGCATACCTGCATGCATACCTGCATGTATACCTGCATGTATACCTGCATGCATACCTGCGTACATACCTACACACACACAGCCGCAGTAGAAGGGAAAAGTCTGTCCCCAGCCTGCAGTTCCTCGCCCGGCCACGAGAGGGCGCTGTGGAGCAGCACAACTAGGCAGCCATCCCCCGGCCTCAGCCTCGCTGCAGGTACTCACTATAGGGGTGCTGGGGACCCAGGTTCCGGCTGGCTCCCTCAGCCTCTCCGGTCTCTCACAGCGTGACAGGCGCCCACCCTGTCCCCCCCGCAGATCCTCGCTGCAGCGCTGGCTCCTCCCACCCATCCCACAGGTGAAGGACGAGTTGAAGGATACATTTGTGTGGGAGCAGGTGAGGCCGCCCCTCTCCCAAAGCCCTGGGTTTGATGTGGGGGCATCAGGTGGGCCCAGGGCTGAACGACGGCGTCGAGCCACGCCTACGAGGAGCCCGGTGACCAAGCCAGGTCCGTGCTGAGTCACAAAGGGGAAGACAGGGGCCCACGTCCCAAGTCCATTCACATACTGGGTGACATCTGCTTGGCCCCTTTTCCTGGCTGTGTAGTATTCCCCAAGCAGAGGGAATGCATTCTTTCCCCCTCTGGCCCACCCCTGGAAGCCCAGGCTCCTTCTGCCTCCCTGCTGTCAGGCAGAATCCTGTCCTTTGCCACAGCTGCACCACTGCTGGGAGGGTTGGGACGTCGCTTCTGAGGTTCTGACCTTCTTAGGTCACCGGGAAAGAAACCATGCCTGCGGCAGATTATCCAGAGCCGAAGGACATCCTCTTGGTGGAAGACATCCAGTGATGTGCCCCGGTGCCCTCCTGCAGCCCGCGCTTCCTCGCCTGCCCGCCCGGGCCGTGTGTGCAGGGCAACTCGGTCAGGGTCCTAACGTCACTCCCGGGAGGCTGAGGCAGGAGGGTCCCAAGCCGGAACCAGGCCTGGAAGCTCAGGGCTCAGGGAGGCCCTGTCTCAGGCTGAAGAACAAAGAAGGGCTGGGGACGGGCTCTGTGCAGAGGCCCCGGGTTCAGCCCCAGTACTGAAAATAAACATAAGGGAAGGGTGGGAGGAAGCGGAATGCGCACGGAAATCGCCCCAGTTGTGTGTCCTTCAGTAAGACAAAA